TGAAGCGGCTAGACCACAGGCATGATACGATGATCTGAGGGGGGAGAGACAATGGAACTGCCAAACACTCTGGGGAAATGAAGAAAAAGCTCGGAAGTTTGAGGCTGACTGGATCCCAAGGCCCCCGGCTGGCTCTGTATGGAGGCAGTGTGGTCAGTGAAAGAGCATGATCCATGGTCAGAAACAGCGTAGTGGCTGGAAGATCCTGGACAAATCATGTCATCTGTTTACCTCTGATTGCTCACCTAGACTACCGCCCTCATGCCCTAACTGGATCCCCTGAATTCCTCACTTGTCATCACAACAACCCCCACACCAGTGTCTGAACCATGTTGTTAAAATGCAAATCAGATTGTGTTATTTTTCTTTAAAACCTTCCTCTAGCTTCTCAGTAAAGTTGGAATTCCGACTCCTTACTTACTTCGACCTATAAAGTCTTACTTTCCCTCCCATCTCCCTGTTTGACCTCTTAGATTTTTCTTCCCGGTGTCTAATGTGTCTGGTTTTGCTGTACTTCTGTTTCTGACACCAAGGTGGCTCCCTCCCTTGACTTTGCCCAGGCTGGCCCCTCTGCTGGAGTGTTCCTCTCCCTGCCTTCTCCTGGCAGGCTCCCCATCATCCAACAGATACTCGTTATTGCTTCCAGAATCTTCATTGGTATTGGTTACTTCTTTATTATGTTTCTTCATTAACCAGAAAGTAAGGTCTGTGTGAGCAAAGACACTACCTAGGTTGTTCTCCAATTCTTTAGCACCAAGCAATGATTGGACGCTCGCTAGATACGCCTGGCATGCATGCATGCACAAATGAATGAATGGCTCCTCTCCTCCTCTGTTCAGAAGTCACCGCCACTACTACATGCCACACACTGAAGAGGCACTTGCTAAGCATGAGCTTGCCTAGCAGGTGGCAGGCTCTCAAGCCACACTGCCTGGGTTCAGACCCTGGCTCCACCACTAATGGTTGTGTGACTCTGGACAAGGTTTTGGGCCTCAGTTTCCTCATATATAAGATAAGGCTAATAATAGTACCTCCTTCATCCAGGAAGTTAAGACATTTGACTGAAGTGATCAAACAGTGCTGGACACACAATAAATGTTCAATAAAAGTCAGTAATCATTACATCCTGGGAAGAAGCAACTCTGTAAGAAAGAATTTCTCAGTCTCAGTAGTACTGGTATTTTGGGTTGGATAATTGTGGAAACTATCATTTGCATGTAGATAGGATGTTTAACAGTATCCTGGCCTCTACTCACTAGAGGCCAGTAGCACCTTCCCAGTTTTGATCATCAAAAATGTCTTTAGAGCCCTAACCAGTTTGGCTCAGTGGATAGAGCATCAGCTTATGGACTGAAGGGTCCCAGATTCAATTCCAGTCAAGGGCATATACTTTGGTTGTGGGCACATCCCCAGTAGGAGGTGTGCAGAAGGCAGCTGATTGATATTTCTAACTCTCTATCCCTCTCCTTTCCACTTTGTAAAAAATCAATAAAATATATTTTAAAAAGATATCTTTAGATATTGCCAAGTGCCCCTGTGGGGGCAGGGAGGGCTAATGGATCTCTTAGATTTTTCTTCCCGGTGTCCTACGTGTCTGGCTTTGCTGGACTTCTTGCTATAAGGCATGAACTTTTGCCCCTAGCACTGATATGAATTTAGAAGTTTACAGAATTTAAACCACTTGCCCAAGGTCACAGGGGTACAAAGTGGGGAACAATGATTCAAAGTCCCATCTCCCGGCCCCACGGCACATGCTCTTTTCTCCACAGTGCGCTGTGCTCGAGGCCCCAGCCCCCCTTCGCTCACCCTGGTCGGCTCGCACACTCACAGATGCGTGCTAATTACACAGCAATGTAAAACGTTATATGTGGTTTGTTATTTTATATCCAGGAACATGGTCCGCAGCCTTCATTACAGAAAGCAGCTGTGTGTATACTTGGGGTCTAAGTGCTATTTAGTGGTCAGCTCCATGGGGTATTTTGTTTCAAGCATCACATTTCTTTTTTCCCTTTCCATACGTCTATTGGGTCCTACGTAGAGAAATTGAGTCTCACACAGCCTGGCCTACAGTGAAAGGCAGAAGTCTCCTAAGTGACAATCGTCCCGCCTCCTAATTAGATTAAGAGAAACAGCCCAGTATGTGCCATATGCTGTGTAAATGTGTCCCCCACTGATTGTGTGTGTGTGTGTGTGTGTGTTCACCAGCCAGGCCTAGACTGACCCATTCAACCTGTTGTACATTGCCAGTTGTGTGTTAAACAAAGCGAGTAGTTTAACAGAAAGAACTCAACCCTCTAAGCCTTCTAATTATCAGCTGTGTAGCTTGAATTATATCATGTGTCCCCTTTAATACTCAGTTTCCTCATCTTTAAAACGGGGACTAAAATATCAGTCTCACAGTGTTGCTGAGATCCTTTTGAGTTTAGATAAAGGGTCTGGCACATTAGTCTTCACTATCCCCCAGCTCCTTCACTTGCCAAGGCCCTAACATGACCTCCTCCCCAGCCTCCACTCCAGCTCTCTCTCAATATCACCCCTCTTCTCTAGCCAGAAAGTTCTAGTGCCTCCTGCCCCACCTCCCTTCCCATTCATCATCTTCCTTACCTGGGATGCAAGCAAGGTTCTTTCCCTTGTTAAGTCCTACTTTTCCTTCAGGGCCTAATTCAAACCCCTCTCCTCCCAGATATTCTGACACCCCAGCAACAATCGTTGTCCCCCACTTTGTACTTCAGTGCTCACCGACTCTCCTGGACTTTTATAATACTGTTACTCACCTGGCACTGAAATGCCTTTTAGCTAGTTGCCTGGGTATTTTTTTGTAGAAAAGTTGCAAGTAGCCAGAAGTCGGGACTACATTCCTTCTCGCCTAACACATGACAGGGCATGTGGGGACCAATAAGCATTTGCGAGTTAACAGGATGTCCGTCATTGCTGTTATGTCACCGATGACTGCGCACAGGATGTGAACACACCTCATCTGGATCCTGCCATGTGGCCACCCTCAAGCAATACTGGCAATTTATGCAGAGCAGCTAAGATGTTGTCCTCTGAACATCAAGATGAAGCTCTTCCCAAGGTCATGCAAGGCTCTTCCTGGTGCCAATTCATTTCTGAACTTCCCCAATAATCCTCGAATTCTAGCTCTCCCCATCGTTTATAATTCCCCAAATATGCCAAACACGTACACTTCCGGGGCCTTTACAGGTGCTGTTCCCACTGTCTGGAATGATCTTGCTTTCCTCATTCTCCCTGTCCAACTACTGGCCCAGCTCAAACATCACCTTCTTTGCAAAGTTCTTTGCTGATCTCGTCTCTCCTTAACTTGACTTTCTTCTAAGATTGCTCTGCTTTCCTCCCCCATCCTCCCGAAAGCACCCTATTTGTTTGCGTCTCTGTCTCCCTCACTGGGTTGCAAGCTCCCTGAGGACAAAATCTGGGGCTGATTCCTCCGTGTTCTCCATTCCCTCACTGAGCTGGGCTATGGTTGGCTTTTTAATTTTAATGACTCACCTTGTACAGCAACTCTAACACTTGATTGTGCTTCTGTGATCATGCGTCCATTTCCCCACTCCTGTAAGGGAATGCCCGTTTCTGAATTGTCTCAGTGTCTACCTCTTTTTTTCTAGTTCTTCCATCACTCTAGACTCTCTTAAGACTGGGGATCTCTGCATGCTCCTGGACTCTATCCCGCCCCCCCCTACTCTCCAAGGCAACCCTGCCTTTCAGTCTGGGATTAACTTCCAACCATTAAAGCTGGGGCAGAGAAGACAGAGCCTGGGTGTGAGTGGGAGTCAGGCACAACGGGGGGAGGAGGGGTAGGAGTTGGAGCTGGAAGTCAGACCAGGCCAGGTCCATTCGAAAGCACTCGTGTGGTCAGAGGCTCCGGCAATGGCTAACCACAAGGGCAGCCCTCAGGCCCAGAGCAAAGCTTCCCCTCTGAGCCCACAGAATAGGAAAGCCCCTCATCGGCCCTCCCCAAGAGGCGCCCTGAGGCGGGGCCCTGGGCTCCTGGATCTGCTCAGGAGGCAGACTTTGTTGGTTTAGTTCCGCTACAAGGCTCTGCTCCTGCCTGAGCTGTTCCAGCCTACGGATTCCTGGTACCCATCTGATTGAACAACTTAATTAAAGTGCAATAAAAGGAAAGTGGGCCAGATGTGCCCAGGGAGAGGAGGCAGGCATCTGAGTCCACCGCCTGCCTCCTGAGCCCTGTGCCCTTCCCATCCTGCCTAGAGGCTATCGGGCAGGTGGTGGCCAGGGTACTCTGAACACCAGAGTTGAGTATGGAAGAGGCTTAAAGGTTATCCACTCTGTGAGTTTGTTCATACGGATGACAGGGAATGTGAGGCCCCGGACCACAGAACCCCCCGAGGCTGCTCAGGCAGACATGCGCAGAAGTGTGATGAATCTCTAGAACTTCTGGACCATCCAGGGCTTTTCTCAGGAACCAGGTGGGAGAAAAAAAAAAAAACTGTTCGAAAACACTAGACCCTTGTCCTTGCGGGGAGCACTCTCTCCTGGGTTCCAAACTAGCTTGTTCTTTGTTAGTAACAGCTTTACGGAAATATAATTCACATACACTTCTAAAGTATCCAATGTAATAGTTTTAATATATTCGCAGAGTTGTGCAACCATTATGGCAATCAAGTTTGGAGTATTTCATTACTCCCCAAAGAGATATGTACCCTTTAGCTACGGTCTCCCAATCTCCCCCTTTCTCCTACCTCTAAGGAATCACTCGTCTACTCTCTGCCTCCATCTATTTGCCAATTCTGGACATTTCATATTATGTCCTTTTGTGACTGGCTTCTTATATGTAGCATAATGTTTTTGACATTGATCCATATTGTATTAGTACGCCATTCCTTTGCATGGTCAAATAATATTCTATCGCATGAAAAAGGCCACATTGTGTATATCCATCAGTTGCTGGACACTGGGTTGTTTTCTCTCGTTAGCTATTTTGAATAATGCTGTTATCAATATCTGTGCACAGTTTTTGCGTGCTGTTTTCAATTCTCTTGTCCCCAGAAGAGAAACCGGTTGGTTCTTGCATCTCATGAACAATTTCAGTAACAATACCAGTGGAAACCCTAAAGCATTATTGCACACGTTGCCTTGGAGAATACTGACAGGAAGCTGGAAGGAGAGAGAAGCAGAGAGGTTAATTATTTTGGCTCTTGTCACACAGCCATAGGATAGGGCCCAAAAGGAGATATAGTTGAAACTCATGACATTTAGCCAAAAAAAACAAAACTGGTATAATTTTAGGGGGAAAGCCCCGAAACATTTTAAAAATCACACTCATATCCACACGTACCGTCACTTTAATGATATGGATCAGTTTTTAACTTGGTCCAGTCCTTTTCTGTCTGTTTGCTTGTGTGTCCTAATTCCCCATGGAGACCATCACACTCCTTCTCAGTGGAACTCAGTTCTCCCACTTCACACCTCATCTCCCCACGCAGAGTGCTGGTCCTGAAGGGAGTTTGGGGGCCTGGTGGGTGGAGGCTCTAATGGGCTCTTTGGTCACAGCTGCAGTCCTCAGAGCTCTGTGTGTGGGAAACATGGAGCCACACGGTTCTCCATGCTGTCTGGGCACTTGGGCCTGCTCTGTGTCTGTCACCAGATGTGTGCGTGGCTGAGAGACTGAAGTTCTCTGGACACCTAGCAGGCTGAACTACATAAAATTGTCAACATTTATTAATTTCTGATCTACAGAAATGCAAACTCATGGGGTTCAAACTGCCGGTCTCTGCTGTCCCCCTGGGTTCCTGCCAGAGGCCCAGGTCTTGTGCCCTGGAAGTTTTTCTGTTCTTCTATCCCAGCTGGTCTTCCTCTCCTAACTTCCTAGAGCGCCATTCTCTGGTTACTCAATCTGTGCCCAAAGGCATGAGTGGGGTCAGGAGACCCCTCCACTCCCTGCCAATCTCCCCAGAGGTGGCCCTGCTTGCAGACCTCTGCAGGCACCTGTGCTCTCCCACCTCCAGGAAAAATTTGTGCACCTCCTTCACTCAGCTACTACCTGTGACTTATCCTTCAAGACCACTCCCGGAAGACTTCCCTGAGCCTCTGGACTGTGTTAGGAGCCCCTTCTCTCTGTTTCCATTTACTTGTGCTTCTGTCTCTCCTGGCACTTATCATCTGTGTGTCTGTCCCTGTCTGTCTCTCTCTCAAACCTGTGGGGTTATGACAATTCTACCTAATTTATACTTCAGTGTCAGTTGTCAGGATAGGAAGAGTCAGCCAACTATCATTGAACTGGACAGTGGTGACTGTGACTCAGTTTCCACATTTGAAGCTTGGGCAGAAAGGAGCTGGTTTTAAGGGCACTTTCTTTTCTTTTCTTTTTTAAAATTTATCTTTATTGATTTCAGGGAGGAACGGAGAGAGAAAGAGATAGAAACATCAATGATGAGAGAGAATCATCGATTGGCTGCCTCCTACACATCCCCCAATGGGGATAGAACCTACAACCCAGGCATGTGCCCTTAACCAGATTGAACCTGGGGACCCTTCAAGTCACAGGCTGATGCTCTAGCCACTGAGCCAAACCAGCTAGAGCATAAGGGCACTTTCAATTCTTACCTCCCAGGCCCCTCTCAGGGATCCGATTTGGGTCCAAAGATACTGATGGGACAGGGTTGTTTAATTGGAAATTCCCGAGGAATTTTGAGAAAGACTATTTTGCTATTTTAATTCAGTTGGTGTTTGCAGAGCACCCACTCAGCTCTTGCCAGAGTTAGTCAGAAAAGTAGTGGGATACAAAGTTGTACATACCAGCTCCCCTGATTCCTCTGAATGCTGCCTTACCAACCAGCCAGCCTGCCCATCCTGACCCTCCCGCTGTTCACTCCCTCCAGGATCTGCTCATCAGATGCCTTGGAAGAGGCCGGTCCTCAAACCATCCCTGTGCCCAGTCTGCGTGCATTTCAGAGCCTACCGCTGATGGTGGAGCGGGGCCTCGGCCCGGGCGCCCCCTGGCGGCCGCGTGCGGAAGCTGCCGCCCGGCAGGGAGCAGGCGAGGGAAAGGGGGAGGGATAGGGGAGGAGGAGGAGGCGCGGGCAGGGGAGGAGAGGAAAAAGTTGCGCTGGGAAGTTTGGAAAGTTGGGAAGTGGCTGCTGCGGGCTTCGCCTCCCTCCGCGCGTGTGTGAGGGAGCGGGCGAGGGAGCGAGAGAGAAGAGAGAGCGAGCGCCTGCCATGCCCATCAGACCCCGCCTCGCTGCGCCCGGGCGCGGAGCACGCCCGGACTCCCTGCGGCCCGGCCCGGCCCGGCGCGGCCCCCCGCCCCCCGCGTCCCGCGCCGGGCCCTCCCCTCCCCCCGCCCCGGCGGCCCCAGCCCCCCGCCCGGCCCGGCTCCGCGCCGCTCTCCCGCCCTCCTCTCTCCCTCCCTCCCGGCCGCGGAGCAGCATGGCGGAGCCCGGGCAGCGGCCGCGCGGCCGCCCGCCGCCCCTCTGAGCCCGGCTCGGGGGCAGCTGGGCGCGCGGACCAGACCCCCGCCCCCGCCGCGCCCGCTGCCGCACTTGTCCCCCTGCGCGCCCCCGGAGCGCGGCGCACCCCTGGGACCTGGCGCACCCCAGGTTCCCCAGCATAATCCCGGAGCCCGCACGCCGGGACCCCAGTGCCGCCCCGGGAGTCCCGCACGCCCCGGACCGCGACGCAGCTCGGGACCCTCGCGCGCCCTGGACCCCCGCGCGCCCTCAGAAGCTCGGGCCAGGCGGACTTGGGCTGCGTGCCCTGGTGAGGGGCCCCGCCTCCGCCCCAGCGGGTACCCCTCTTCCAACTGACGGCGCCCCGCCCCTGAGAGACCCCCAGGTTCGACAGGGACATCCATCCTACACCCAGAGGGCTCCCAGCATCCCGCAGCGAGCCCCGGACCCCGGAGGAACCTTGGTGCCCAGCTGGGGGCTCCCCGCCCCGCAGAGGGGGCGCCGCCCAGGAGGGTCCCCCGCGCCCCGCGGGCCCCGGCAGGATGCACGCCGCCCTGGCGGGGCCGCTGCTCGCCGCCCTCCTCGCCGCCGCCCGCGCCCGCCCGCAACCCCTGGACGGAGGAGGACAGTGTCGGCCGCCCGGATCGGTGAGCGAGCGCCTGCCCGGCCACTGCAGCCCCGTGGTGGGGACGATGGTTTGGGGTCCTGCCTTCCGCACCCACCTCCTCCCATCCGCTGCACCTCCGCCCGCCAGGTGCTGCCCCGGGCGCCCTTCCCGGCTTCTGCCGCCCCGCCGCTCCACCTCCTCCGGGAGCCTGGATGGGCGCTCCCTCGCCGCTCCTCCAGCTCGCACTGACGCTCTCTTGGGCTCTTCTAAACTTTTAGTCCTATTCAGATGCTTCCTCTGCACCCCTTTGACTCATTACTTTCTTCTTGCCTCTAACCTGTCCTTACCCTCCAGTTTTCTCTCTGCCTACAGACTCTGCTTCTACCATTCCCTGCCGTCTATCCTCTGATTTCCATGCAACTCTTCTCTCTCATTCACACGCCGCCCCATCCCAGCCTCCCTGGATCCCCTGCGCTCCACTCTGACCTAAGACAAACTTTCCCCCTAATGCAGCTTTCCACTTTTTTCTCCCTTTCCCAACCCAGACCCCAGCACCCACGCTTCCAAATGCCCCATTTCAGAGGACAGGAGAAGCAGTGCCAGGAAAGAGATGCTGTCCTGATATTTCCTTGGGGTTGAGTCATTATTGATTCTCCTCATTTTCCTTCCAAACCAAGGACTCTCGTGATTTCCCTCAGTGTAGCCCCTCAATGTGTAAATTAACACATTGAAAATGACCCTGGATTGGAGGCCAGGCGAGCAGGAGATGATTTTGTAGGGTCCTTCCTCGATGCCTTGTTAGAGAGGTGGTTGACTGTGGACAGGGTGCACCTCCATCAGAGTCCTGACTCCTGCTGAAACCTGGAGCTCCGTGACCTGCAGCTCGCTCAGAGCCAGCCTGCATCTCCGGCGTTCTGGGATTCACGACTGTTGGTTGTTAGTCAAGTAAGGGGCCATTTCCTCCTCCCACCCTGAAACATACTCTCCCCTGTGCTCAGATCAGGTAGAGAAACGTTGAATGGACCTGAAGTTTGCAGGTGCCACGTGGACAGACAGTCCAGGGGTTTTTCTGGTTGGAAAGTGACTTGACCTGTGAGCAATGACAGTTTGCTTTCTCATGTCCCTTAACCCCTTAACCCTAAACTGGATCTGGAGAAATGACCCTTGTTTCCATGCCCCTCGGTGTTCACCCCGGCACACACGCACACACGCTCCTCAGAACTTAGGCCATAGATGGCAGAGAATAGGGTTGAAGACCAGGCGCACCTATTTTAAGGGAGCAGCCCGCAGACACCCAGACCATGTACGTTTCTTGGTGCCGATTCTATGGCGTCCTCCTCCCCCAGGCCGGGGCCTGAGACTTCACTCAGCCTGCAGCTTTTAAAGCGCTTTCTCATCTGTGGTTTCAGCTGGTGGAGCAGAGTAGCTGACACCCAGACCTGCCCTCCAAAAAGAAAACTGTATCCACCCTGATGAATGGGAAGTCACTGTTTAAATAGGTGTGCTATTTTTAATAGGTGTTCTGCTTTCAAAGTGCTCTTGGCAAGTATCTTCTACTGGTTGGAATTCAGTTATATGACTTCCTCCCGCCTTACCAGAGCAGTGCTCTGACTCCCCCTCTCCCCCACCCTCCCCGTGAAACACGCCACTGGTGAAAGGTTTGGCTTGGCCTGAGCCTGAATGTTCTCAGGTGGTGTGGCAGACCTTGGCACACACAGTGAAAGCTAATCATAACGAGAGCCTCCTTCATTGCCCCTTCCTCTGTGCCTGGCACTGCTCTGAGGGCTCATTTAGAGATATTGTGTGTTTTTATTCTCCCATGGACCCCTGAGGTAGCTTATTTCACCCGCCCCCATTTACAGATGGGGAAACTGAGTCTGTGGAAGCGAAGCAGTGTGCTCAAGGTCACACAGCTAAGACAAAGCAAAGGGTTTGTCTCTGGGTATTTCAGCTTCCAAAGCCGTTGCTCTTCCCCGCGGCCCCATGTGGGTGTCTGCCTGCCCTCCCCACCTCCTCCTGCCCCCTCTGAGTTAGCCTTGGTTTACTCTGCTGCCATCAGCCTCAGGGCCTTCCTTCTCCTCCCCTCCTGCAGCAAAGGGACCTCAACTCCTTTCTGTGGACTATTCGACGTGACCCCCCGGCCTACCTGTTTGGCACCATCCACGTCCCCTACACCCGTGTCTGGGACTTCATCCCCGACAACTCCAAGGCGGCCTTCCAGGCCAGCGCCCGTGTCTACTTCGAACTGGACCTGACGGACCCCTACACCATCACGGCGCTGGCCAGCTGCCAGCTGCTGCCCCACGGGGAGAACCTCCAGGACGTGCTGCCCCGCGAGCTCTACTGGCGCCTGAAGCGCCACCTGGACTACGTGAAGCTGATGATGCCCTCCTGGATGACGCCCGCGCAGAGGGGCAAGGGGCTCTACGCGGACTACCTGTTCAACGCCATCGCGGGCAACTGGGAGCGCAAGAGGCCCGTGTGGGTGATGCTGATGGTGAACTCGCTCACGGAGACGGACGTGCGTTCCCGGGGCGTGCCGGTGCTAGACCTCTACCTGGCCCAGCAGGCTGAGAAGATGAGGAAGAGCACCGGGGCCGTGGAGCGGGTGGAGGAGCAGTGCCATCCCCTCAATGGGCTCAACTTCTCCCAGGTAAGCAGCACGCGGCCCCTGGGCCCTGAGCTGGGAGCCCCCGTGCCCCTTTGTCTGCTTCTCTGATGGTCTTCCTTCTCTGGCAGCCAGTGCCTGCCATTCCTTCCCCCAAAGGGAGAGGGTCTTTTGGTCTGTGGAACGGCTTCCAGCTGCTTTTGGGGGTGGTCTGAGGGGAAAACGGGTATGTGCTGGATTTTGGGGTTAAGAGTCTGGGTGTTGGCTTCCCTCTCAGCGTTGTTACCTGTCGGGGATATACACTCCCCACCGGCTGTGCTTGCCTGAGCAGAAAGAATTTCCCTGGGAGCATCAGAGTGATGAAAAACAAAAAAGAGGGGGCTGAACGTTTGCCTTCGAGGCCCGGATCTCAGGATCAAGAGGCTGTCCCGAGGCTGCTGTGTGGGCACATCCAGGCAGCAGCGAGTAAACAGAGGACTTGAGAGGGAGGCCCGGTGCCTGGGCCTGGGGGCGGGGCAGGTGTGGTGAGTGGGCCCCGTGTCTATGGCTTGCTGTTGATGTGAATTCAGCACTGTCGTTTTCCGGGCCTTTGCGAAGCTCCTGGGGCGACCCTCGGACCGCCTCCCTAGGCTGGGAGAAAGCCAGCCAGGATAGCTCTGGGGTTAATAATTTCAGAGAAATGTGTCCACTTCAAAGTTGACAGTTCTGATTCCTGAACCTAGGGGCGGAGGCAGGGAGAAGGGACCAGCCGGCCGAGGAGGTTGAAAGTCTCGGGCTGCCAGAGACCTGACCCAGCAAAAAGCCATGAATAGCCCTGTTTGCATGGGCAGAGGTCACTCGCCGCTCACTGGCCCCAAACTCAACTCGGAGGCCCTGGGAACAATGAGTTCACATCTGCGCCTCGAGAACAGGCTGTCTATCTGGGAAGGGGGCTCTTACGTCAGGGCTGGTGGCTCTTGCACAGAGGCCCCAGAATGGGGCTTGGGCCGATGCCCCCGTGAGGAATGAGACGTTGTGAGGCATGGCCCCGGGAGACACGCTCCTCTGTGACAGAGACGGCCCCCGTACGTTGGCCAGGCCAGCAGCCACCACGGGGACCAGAGCTGCTGGCTGCTCTTGGGGATGTTGCAAGCTCTTCACCAGGGAAACAGCGGCAGAAACTGATCCCCCTTCAGAGATCTCTGGCCTTTGTTTTTCCAGGGGAAATGCAATATTGTCCCCGGGGAGGTAAGAAGCCAGATTGATTTGCCGGCCAAATGAAAGGCGGGTTTGTCGGTCCTCCCGCTGGCTCTCCCATAATGGTGGAGTCCTTACCCAGAGGGCCCCGGTGGCAGGGATATTGGGGCAGTTAGTCACGCCCTGCGGGGTTCTGACTACGCCTGACTCCTTCTCCACGGGGGAAAATCCTGTGCATTCTCCGGCCCCGCGCGGATTCCTCTGAACATACCGGCTCTCTCCCTCTGAAGTGACGTTCCCCTGCCAGCCTCGTGAGCTGATATTATCTGTGCCCAGCTCCCCAGCGCTTGCCGCCCCTCTCATTTGTGGAGGAGGCAGGCTTTTGGGAAGGAGGCCCCTCTGTTCAGAGGCCTCCTGTCTGGCTCGCCTTCGATATCTTTTTTAGGCTGGGGAGGTGGGGGACCCACTATCATCTCAACACCCTCTTTGTACCCACCACAGAGGCATCCACGGGCAGGCGCTGAAGGGAGCGCACCAGCCCCCTGGTTAAACAGCCCCTGGCTTTAATCTGTCTTCTCTTAAAACAACAACACTATCTTTCTTCGGGGTCTGGAAACACTGCCGTTCCACCGAGGGACGGCTTTTGGTAGGTTGCAAACATTTGCTGGGAAGTGTGCGAGGTTATGTTTTAGGAAAAGTTCCCGAGAGCCATTCATCGGCCGGCGAGGAGCCCGCTGACAGTCTCCAAAGCCCATGTTTGAAGATCAAACGCACTCCACTCTCTGGTTTCACAAAGGCGCCCACCCCATCTCCAGCCTGGGCCCGCTCTGAGCTGCAGTGCTTGGGTCCAGCTCGCTGAGGAGGCTGCAGGAAGCGAGTCCCAAACTCCTCTCGGGTCCCTAATCTCCACACCCTTCACCACCTGCCAGAGCGTCCGGCCCCCGCCAATTTGTCCTGTTATCATTTTGGAGTGAGGTGATGACATCTCTCCTCTGTCCCTGTGAGCTGCTGTGGGCTAAACTGGGAAGGGAGGGATTTCAGAGCCTGGGTGGATGGGGTTGTTAGGGGTCCCCCCCACCCCAACATCAGAAACGCAACAGCCTTCTCAGTAAAATTGTATGCGCGTGTGCACAGTTTGATAGGAACATCTGTGATGCATTATTGTACCAAAATATCTGTTAAGTGCATCAGATTTTTATTTTTTCTTTCCTTTCAGCATTACTGTTATTGCAAAGTATTTTTTGGTGGTGGTGGTGGGGGCAATGAGAGAGGAAGGTGGGAAATAGAAACCTTTTTATTAAGACCTGGGATTTTAGTTTTAATTTGAGTATTTTTCAAATTTTTATATTTTCTTCTGGGCCGAAACACCACATTCTCCTTCCCACCCCCATCCCCACCCCTGGCTCAGTGGAGAAAGAAAGCTTATGTTTTGGAACTCCGTGGGCTGGGCAACCACTGAAAACGTCTCTTCCACCTTTGCACAGCTTGGAAGATCGGGCTCCTTGGCCCTAGTCTGTGATTTTAATATAAACAGAGTGTGTGAGCCCGAACATCACCCTGAGTGTGCTGTGTGACCTTGGGCAAGTCAGTGTCCCTCTCTGGGCCTTGCTTTTCCCTTCTGTGAAATGAGACACCGGGATGAGGTCATCATCCAGGTCCCTTCCAGCCCTGACATTCCGAGGGACGGCCATAATCAATTCCACGTGCCTGGCACTCTGCAGGAAGCCCCGTATGCTTCTCCGTTTTGTTGGATCCTCATAGCCCTGTGGTTTCTTAAGGTGCGTAGTCAGAAAGGTCAGTTGACTTGCCCATGATCACATGGCTAGTAAGGAACAGAACCCGTCTGCCTGGCTCTCCATGAAGGATGCACGCTTCCTGCCACCCATATGACTAGGTACTTTGTGTCCTCTTGTGATCCTTCCTTCAGTCCTTTCTTCCGCTTCTTTCTCCCTTTTAGGACGTGAGGGCTTAAACGTTTACTGCTTAGAAAGTGTCCACCTATGGAAAAACGATTTCTTTTGGCCTTGGGGCCAAAGGAGGGATGGTGAAGGCAGGTCCTGTAACTGTTTCCCTCATGGGTGACAAACAGCTCGGCCGTGAAGGCTGAAAGGAGTTTTGCCTCCAGATTTCAGTCCCTCCTCTGGGTGACAAACAGCTTGGCTGTGAAGGCTGAAAGGAGTTTTGCCTCCAGATTTCAGTCCCTCCTCGGGCTTGAATGCCAATGATTTGTGCATAACTGGTTTTCTTGTCTGTCCGATGGGGCACTTAGTGACCAGTCTTTCACAATAGAGCTGGTTTGGGGAGGACGTGAGACGACTCTACATGCATGAGGTTATTGAAAGGTTGAAACGACTACCTAGATAGAGGGCAAGTTCTGGGACTGAGAAAGAAAGAGGAGGGAAGCCGAAACCGGTTTGGTTCGGCTTCCTGCGTCTGTCTGCGGACTGAAAGGTCCCAGGTTCGATTCCGGTCAGGGGCATGTATGTTGGTTGCGGGCACATCCCCAGTAGGGGGTGTGCAAGAGGCAGCTGGTCGATGTTTCTCTCTCATCGACATTTCTAGCTCTCTATCTCTCTCCCTTCCTCTCTGTAAAATATCAATAAAATATATTAAAAAAAAAGAAGAAAGAAAGAAAGAAAGAAAGAAAGAGGAGCGAAGCCTCATCTCTGCCCTGTCAGCCTTTTCTCCTAGCAGCCGTGCCCACTGCCCATCCTGTGTTGCACAGAGTGAAGCTGGAGTCATAAGGAGTGGTGCTGGCCCCTATCCTCAGGGGCCTGTGGGTACCTGAACCTTGAGTCCAGATCTTGTGACAGTCTTGGGACCTGCAGATTTCAATCAGCTCCGTCAGCTGCCTCCAGGGACTGGTACCGGCTGCCACTCACTTGCTGGGCTGATTAGGAGATCTCCCTCTCCCTCTAGGGGGCCTCAGTCCCCGCCCCACCCCACCAGTTGGTAAGGAGCTGCCTGAGAGGCCCTCTAAGCTATGTGATTCTCTGAGGCAGAATGAGAAAATGAGGACCCTGTCATTCTGTACTTTGTTTTAACAAACATGCGATGTCACCCATCCAGGCTGTGCAAAGCCTAAACACTTGGTCATGGCTGCTAAGGTTATCCAAGATGTATGTAAAATTCCACAGTCCCTGCACAAGGGAGTTTGAAACCATACAGTCGCCATTTATTGAGCTCTGTCTCTGTACAGGGTACTACCTTAGACCTTGTAAGTACATCATCTCTCAACCTCACAGAGATGTGACAAGACGTATCATCATCTCTCTTCCTCAGATAATAAATTGAGGCTTAAAAAGGGTAAGTCATTTGACTGTGATTACACAACCAGGCCAGGTGGACTCAGGGTCCAAACTTGGGTCTGATGCCAGAGTCCATGCTTCTTAGGCATGTGAGAGCGGATGTGATTTTTGTTTTTAATAGTTAGAAGGCATTATCTGGGGGGGGGGGGGGTGTTTGAGTGGTGAGAGATGGTCATATCTTGCTAAAAATATATTTATAAAAATAGAGAGAGAATTAAAAAGTGTTCACACTGATTTTCTACTGGCTTACAAATTAGATCTACGGGTGGTTCTAAAATTAGAGTTCTTGAAGACATCCTCAGCTTTCCAAGGGACCACTGTGAGGATGGCACCTCAAAGCAGGCACAGTTAAATAAGGGAGAGTCTCCTTGGTTTCTGGTCAGAGCTGCTATATCTGCACCCTGCGGGCCAACACATATTCTTAGGTGCTCTATAAGTATTCAGAGAACGAATGAATGGTCAGAAATCATGATATCACTATCACTGCTTCCCTTCCTTCCACCATGCAGCACTATTGAATGAATGAATGAATGAACAAACGAACTACATACATGAGGAGCC